GTAAATACACTGTAGATAATTTCATTTTGTTTTTGATGTATTCTGTCATTTGGAGATGTTTTATAACTTGCACTTGCATTCTTAGCTCAAGGTCTAATGTTAGTCAGAACTGGTTCTTAATATATTGGGAGTTAGAGAGCCATTTGGAAATTGAAGGAAAGCCATGCAACTTTTCCTGAGAACAAAGACAAAAGCCTTTATCACATAAGCATATAATTTCAAAGGATAAACAGACCCAAGTGAGATGGAAGCTTTATTCTGGAGGATCACACTCAGGGCCTTTTATGGACATAATAGCTAATTGCTAAAATCTTTTAAATGTCAAATATTTCAAGTCAAAATGATCTCTCCTACGAATTATTCTCAGAACTTTAATGTCTTAACTGAACATTATCCAAATGGTTATCACCTTTGAATTCCCTTTTATTTCGTGGAACATACTTGCCTATAATGTAGGCTCTATCTACAGCCCTCTGAACAGGAACAATGACTGCTCTCCATGTAGCCCAAAGTGAATCCAGTTTTCAAATTCTCACAGCAGATGTCATTGCTCCCATTAACAAGTCTAGCATGTATTTCTATAACCAAAATCGCAATATATAGGTCTATGAGGTGAACAATATACCTGGGAGGTATGTATTCCTTAGAACAAGCAACATAAGAAAGTAAAAGGACAACATTTGCCCAGGGATAAAGCTCAGAAGGCAGGAATGGATAGGAAAGAATGAAAAAGAGAAAAAGTAACCAAAGCTCAGAAGGCAGGAATGGATAGGAAAGAATGAAAAAGGGAAAAAGTAACCTCAGGGGGGAAGTAGGAAGAGAGGTGTTACATAGTAGGGATCGTATCAATGTCACAAAGCAAAATGTGTATAAACTATTGAATGGAAAACCAATATACTATGTAAACTTTTATGTAAATCACAATATAATTATATATATATATCCCTTTAACTTTTGTCTTAGCCTTCAGCCATGGATATGCACCAACCTTCTAGCACTTGATTAAGACAGCTGACACTTGAATGAGGGAGATGAATCATCTTCACATTTTGCTAAATTTCTTTGCTCTTCATCTTCCAAAAAAATTTGATGATCA